TTCTCGTGCGGCGCACGCTTCGGAGCGGCAGTGCACGGCCCAGGCGCCATGGCCAGGGCGAGTACGAATCGTATCTTAGGCATCGATGGGGGCATCAAGATGCCGGGAAAGGCGAAACGTCAAGACACAACTACAGCTTGACAGCGAAGCGGCTGCAGCGAAGCGGGAAGTACAAGCCTCACGCAAACAAGACAAGCGAACACAAGCGCCGACCCCCCGACACGAAGCAAGCACACCCACGCCAAGGCGACACAAAACGACGAGGCAGGAGAAGGCGTGGACGACACAACACACACGCACCACGGCACCGGCAACCCGCGCACCTCGAACGGACCAGAAGACACCCCTCGGAGAGACACGGCAACCCACCCCGCAACCCAGAACAAGGCAACACGCATGGGCACCCCAGGCACCTCCCGGGGCGCGTCCAGACCAGGACAACGAGGCGAGACCGGCAGCGGCGACGAGGGCGACCCAGGAAGCCCCCCAAAAGGGAAAACGAGGGCAGAGTAGAGGTAAGGGCGCGTGATCCTCTGCGGAGCACCTGCCCCGACCTCGGTGAGCCTCAGAACGCGTGCCAGCGCCCACCGTGCGCACGCCCGCCGAGAGCCCTCGAGAGCTGCGCGGGCGGCACGGGGAGGGCCGCAGCCGGCGGCGCTCCGTCGGCGGCGTCGGGCGAGGGGTAAACTCGCGTGGCTGGCTCGGGAGACCCCTGAGGCAGAAACATGGTCACCACAAGGGTGCACAGGCTTTACAACCACCGGCTGCCGCAGGCACGGCGCAGGCAACCGCAGGCGCGGCCACCCAAGACAGCACCGCGGGCAGCCGCCGCCTTCCGCCGAGGGGGAGGTGCAAGCGCCTTCGATCCTAGGAGGCGAGGCCCAGTCTGGAACGCATCGCATGGGGCAGACACACGTCCTGGGGAACACCTACGAAAAACCCTCTTCGCCCGACCCGACACAACAGCGAGAGCAATCTCTCTCGCACGCACATTTGCTGTCAGGGAGGCGCAAGCACGATGTACCCAGCCCGAAGGGCGGGGACACCGAAGCGGGACCGGGAGAGAGTCGAGTGCACGGGGGGCGCAGGTGAGGGACGAGCAGGGGAGAGGAGGGAAGAGGAGAGAGGGTGACCGAGCATAACGGTCTGGACGTTCTTCCGCCCACGGTGGGCACAACAAAGCAGCTTCCTTCCAATCGCCAGGAGGAAAAGAAGGAGGAGGAGGAGGAGGAGGAGGACGAGGAGGAGGACGAGGAGGAGGACGAGGAGAAGGACGACGACGACAGCGACGACGACGGGAGGACGAAGGGAGACAAAACATTATTCACAGGCGACTCTCAAGCCTCCGCAATCCCCCGGAGCAGCCAGAACTGCCCCGCCGCGCGGTCCAGCTCTGCGAGCAGGAGCACCAGCTCGCAGTAGCCCGGCTGGCCGGGCGCCAGCCGCAGCATGTACGCCAGCGCATCAGCAGACGCCGGCGGCGTGTCCAACCAGCCCAGTGCAGCGAGCAGCGGCTGCCTCCTCCTCCTCCTCCTCCTCCCCTCCTCCTGCCCCTCCTCCTCCTCCTCCTCCTCCTCCTCCTCCTCCGTTTCTCCTCCTCCTCCTCCTCCTCCTCCTCCTCCTCCTCCTCCTCCTCCTCCTCCTCCTCCTCCTCCTCCGTTCCACCTCCTCTTTCCCCGAGATCGGGGCGTTGCCATTGTTGTTTGACCCGGCGGTTTTGTCTTGTTTCGGGCTCTGTGGCCATTGCAGGTCGACCTGGCCGGAAACGTGTTGCAAACATATTCGGTTTGGAGCTCTGGTCTCCCCCTCTGGATCCTTAGACATGCAACGTTTTGAGGACAGCTCGGGACGGAGTTTGTATCGTCACGTTCTGCTTCTTGGGCACGTGCCATGCCCCCAGACGTCACACAGCAGCACAGCATGGAAAGCCAGTCTCACAGAAACGGCTGGGACTTCTGGGGATCGCGTATCGAAAAAGGAACATGGCATGTAGCAGATCATGATGCTCATTCTGCGCGGATGATGATCATCGTATTGGGCGCTCCAGAACGGGCTCCGCCTTCGAGGGTCGAAGGGGTTTGCCTCTCTTTCTCGGCGGGCGGCGGCGGAAGGTCGGCGGAGAAGCGGGTGGAAGTACCTCGGCGGGCCCGCTCGTGGAGGCGGGCCGAGGGTGGCGAAAGAAACAAAACCAGCCCTCTCAAGAGTTGTTTTTTTTGGGGGGGGGGAGGAGGGAGGAGCGAGAAGCGAGGAGCGAGGAGCGAGGAGCGAGGAGGAGGAGGAGGAGGAGGAGGAGGAGGAGAAGGAGCAGGAGGGAAGGAGGGGAGGAGGAGGAGGAGGAGCAGGAGGAGGAGGAGGAGCAGCAGGAGGAGCAGGAAGAGGAGGGGGAGGATTTGCAACCCGCCATATCGCAGCGTCCGAACCTCCTCCTCTTCCTCCCGCCCCTGCGGATGCCTGCCCTGCGCCCTGCGACCAGCGGGAAGAGCTGTGCACAACGAGAGGT